ACCTGGGAGGCAGAGCCCAGAGTTTGGGTTCTCTTTGCTACCAACACCCTGCACCCTCTTTGGAACTCAACTGCCCTGTCTTTGAGATGGAACACTCCTCATAGCAATCCTCAAGGGATGGATGTCCCTGGCTTCTAGAAGGTGCCACTCCACATTGCCTTCTCCAGCGCCCTCTCTGCTGGTCTGGCCAGGCCAGCCAGGCCCAAGGCAAAGACCCACATTCATGCACACTCGTTACTTTGTGGCTAAAAATCGACACTCCTTATGCTGATCTCCAGGTTCTTACTGTTTCTTCTGGAACTCACCCTGGAATACAGTGAAACCTTCCAAAGAATTAGCTGAGAAAAGCCAAAGACAGATGGCTCTCTCAAGGGGCAGTTTGTCAGGTCACCTCGAGGAGGTCCGGGAAGGATGGAGAGTCAGGAAGGAGGCCATTACTGGAATGAGTCAGGAGTGTGAGGTCACTTTGGTCTGGGTTATCCACTTTGGGGGGTATGGGAAGTGAAAGGAGCGAGGACTCAAAGCCAGGCGCGCTGCGACTAAAAACAGTCCTCCCCACTCACAAATGGCGTGCCCTCTCTGATCTCCAAGTGTTTATAGGAAATCTCAGCAAAACGCATCCCACAAATTGCAGCATTTTCTGTCTCTGTCTCCTCTGCACCCTTTCTGTTGCTATGATAATAACTCCAGCACGATGCCAGGCAGAGTACCCGCAGCTCTCCTTCCGTCCCGGTACTCCCCTAACGGTTAGAGGGGGACACTAAGCCAGCACTAGCTAAGCTAGCACTAGCCTTTAAGAATAGCCTCCTGACTGGAGATGTTTCCTCCTGAGAGAGGGGGCACAGAAGTGGTTGGTAATCTGCCTGGATCCATGGTCGGCCAGTTCCCAGTTCTCCTCTGCCAAAGCTGCCCTCACTAGTGCTTCCCCAAGTTCTGGCACTGGGGGGAGGGGGATGCAGTGAAATAGAACCTTTGATGGTTTCATCAAATACCCCTGGAGCCAGGGGAAGGGGGGCCAAGTTAGCGACGCTACAGTCAGGAGGTGACATTGGTCTTGCCACACCAGACCCTGACCAACAATGTACAGCACTATTACCCGTCCTAGAAAAATATGGATCGTGGCTTCTGTGTACACCAAGGTTCGGCAAATATGTTCTTTTCAAGGCTCTACTAGCGGTTTTGGAAATGCTGGTGGTGACCAGGAGTCCACCTCAGAGACGAACGTGTCTGTCGGAGAAGGGATAGTTATGTGGCCTTGTACTGGCACCATCAATGGAACTGTCCATTTCTGTGCTGTCTGATTTAGCAGCCATGTATTTATCCCAGCGCCTGAGTGAGGGATGGCCTGAGGAACTGCATTCTGTGTTTTGTTTTGTTTTGTTTTGTTTTACTCCTGAAGTATTTAAATCAGGGTTCAGAATGTGGCTCAGGAGGTAAGGGAGCTTGCCAAGGAGCCCAGTAACCTGAGTGCAATCCCTGAAGCCCACATGGTGGGCAGACAGAACTGATTTCTGCGGGTTATGGTCTGACATCCGTGGGTGTGCCATGGTGCATTCCTTCCTCCTCATATATTCTGTAATAAACACACGTAGTAAAAGGTGTCTAGATAGCCGCAGAGTGTGAGTAGGTGGCTGCCCTTACTGCACAAAGACATATTGGTTACAGGGTTGAACAGGTGAATCTCACAGGGTGTCATCTCCAGCTTCCCCAGGGCAAGCTCATGTGGCACCCTGACTCCCATCGGGGGTGATGTTAGCTTGGATCCATGAGAACCTTGCTCATTGGAAGGATGAAGAGCAACTGGGAGATGCAGGCCTCAGCTTTCCCCCTGACTGGCTTCAGGCAGTCCTGATGATTCTCCCTCCATGACACTGGCGACATGAAACTCTCCTCCCTGGTTGTCTCTGGAGCAAGACAATTTGTTAAAAATAAAGAGAGACAACTGCTTCCAAGGGACTTGGACCTGCTGGACTGCAATGAGCCCCTGAGCTGGGCTCTGTCACTGGACAAGGGGACTAGCTGGGTCACCAGTGGGTGAAACAGTGCTGGGCGACCGTGAACTCTCAGAGCAGCGAGCATTGACTGGCCACTACGGTTTCCCCCATGCCTGCAGCTCTTCTTTCCTGGCTTCTGTCTCCCGATACTGCATCCCGGAAGAAGCTCCTGAGCCTCTCAGGTGGTGCACTCACCTCTGAAGGGGGACTGGGCTCGGGTGATGAGGAAGAGCCTCCTGCTCTTGCCCGAGCGGTTCCTGCGGATGTCATAGCCCATGGTGTTGCAGCGGCTCCTCTTGCAGTTCAGACATAGGCCCTGGCTGAAGCTGTCCATGTCGCTGCACTGGAAGCCGGTGCTCTGCAGGCCACTGTGCAGCAAGGAGTCGACGAAGAGGTGCACCGAGCGCTCGTGGGCACATTTAATGGTCTGGGTGATGGCTGAGACACGGGACAAGAAGACCATTAGCACTCTGAGCCCCAAGTGTCTCCAACAGAAAGACTCATGGTTTCAGTAGGCAGATGTGTGTGTGTGTGTGTCTGTAGCAGGATTGCTGAGTCCTCACAGACAACAAGCATCTGTTGCAACAGAAAGCTAAAGAAGGTAGACCTCTGTGGGTGCCACCCTGAGCTCACCCTGCTCTGGTAGAATGGATTAAGTGTTTTTATAAGCACCTCGTGTTACCAGGGAAGAGGCAAGTGTTTAATAAAGCAAGAGGGCTCAGCTCACTTCTAGGTATCCCCACTGGCTAGCAAAGACCCAGTGCTGACGTCCAGATGGGGGGTTACTTGGATGGGACTGTAGGCTTCTGCTTTTCTTATCACAGCCAGGTCAGCCAGGTCTGGGCCCCAGTCCCCAAGGCAAAATGTTTATGTGTTTAATATTCTGGGGTAGTGGGGGGTTGGGAAGATGACCGACTAAAGAAAGGGGTTTGGCTTGCTGCCAGACCTGAAGACCTGAGTATGGCTCTGTGACTGTGATATGGGAGTGCACACACACACACACACACACACACACACACACACACACACACACACCACAGTGCAAACGCTGAAGCCAGAAGACAATTTTCAGGTGTTAACGTCCTCCTTCCTCCTTTACGTGGTTCTGGGAATCCAACTCTGATCAGCAAGTTTGCGTGATAAATAACCCCAAACACTGAACCATCTTCTGGGCCCATTAACCTTTTTCTTTTAAGATGGGGTCTCATGTTGCCCAGGCTGGCCTTGAACTCCTGGTTTCCTCTGCATCTTGAGTGCTGAGGTTACTCCATGCCTGGTGTTATGCAGAGCAGGGGCTGGAAGCCAGGTTGTCTATGCAGGCACCCTGCCTAGGAAGCTATGTACCGTCCTCCTATCATGAGATTTGACCTTTTTAAAGAACACCTTCCAATTTCTAATCTAATCTCTTAGCCGGTTATTCTAAAGGGATGTCAGGGAACTACCAGAAGACACAGAAACACCTAAAGCAAAGGTCAGGCACGGCTCATCTCGCCTGGACCAATGAGGCGTTGGCCCTCTCCGTCACCAGCAGCTCTGCTTGCTGAGTGTCTCTTCGGAGAGTTACACTGCTTGCTATCCATGCAACCATTCTGATGGCTTGCAGCATCGCCTGGAGGCAGCTGCTGTAACAAATGAGAACACAGCCTCAAAGATGTTCACAGGCTCCAGGAACTCACTGGAGGGGGGGGAGAGGCGATGACACTGGAATTCTGTTATCAAGCTGCCTTCTGCACAGGTGTGGCTGGGGGAGAGTGCCTTAAACAAAGGGCAAAAGGCTTGGAGTTCCTCCTCACCCCCGGTTAGCTACGCCATTTTAAGCTTAGCCTTGAAGAGGAAATGGCAGTGAATGGTCAACAATGTGTCCACCAGGCAAGTGGGGACCAAACACTATCCTGGGGTCTGCGTTGAGCTTTACAAGGATGGGGTGTAGCTCTGAAGAAAGAGTGGATGAACCAGCTGGGCGGCCAGAGGGGTGGTGTGACCCTGGAGGATGTAAAGGAAGATGAGCGGAAATTCCCGGAAGGCTCTGGGGTGAAGGTCTTTCTGAGACTGGAGAGGTGATGGACCCCCCAGGGAGTGCTCAGCCTGGGTTTGGATGAAGGGGGTGGGAAGCTTGTAGGGGAAGCTGAGGCCTCCAGCTGTCATAGAGTGACCCGGCATGCTCTCCTCAGGTGACATCCAACAATGAGAAACCTGGAGTGCCTGCGGTTTCCATGTGTCTGGGAGGCATGGTTGCTGCTGGCTTGCATGCTCTTTCATTCCTTTCCCTCCATCCTTACAGCACCGATATATTTAATCAGTGTGCATGTCGCTGGATCTGCAACTGGAAGTCACATGGGGAAATCTCAGTCATGCCACCCGGGATCAGCTGATATGGCCTTCCGGGCATGGGGAAGAGTGAGAACAGTGGCCGGGATGCCAAGGCCTGGGCTGAGGAGATAGGTCAGTTAGTAAAGTAGCAGACACACAAGCACAAGACCAGAGTTCCATCCCCAGGACTCACGTGCAAGAGCCAAGGATGGTGGTGTGCTCACAATCCCCACGCTGGGGAGCAGAGGCCAGCAGATCCTGGGGCCAGCCACCCTAGCCGAATCATCTCACCCTAGCCAGTGAGATGCCTTGCCTCGAAAAACAAGATGGAGGTTGTCTTCTAGCTTCAGTATCCACCCCCACATGAATGCACAAAACATGTGCCCCTACACACACACACACACACACACACACACACACACACACACACACAC